AGGAGTAGATGTGTTGATAATCTCTTTAAAAGTGACAATAGGATCAAGAATTATACTACTGGATATTAAATGTTTTTGTTTTTCAATAACCCTATTAGTTACTTCTGAAAGAGGATATTTAGCACTTTTTATTGATTTTTTTATGTATTGTAAGTAATTTTCAAATTTAAAGCAACTAAAATGATCAAGACATCCATGAATTTTAACATATATAGGAAGATGTAATAAGCTATGAACGTTATAATTCACAGAATGAGCCCCATACAAAGAAGAGTACTGAGAAACAAATTCATTCAGTAAGTTTTGAGCTAAATCGTTTGAAGTTTGACATATATCAGGAGATATCAAAATTCTTACTGCACACACCAAGAGTTTAAAATGAAAATACTTTAATTTATTTAAATTTCCTTTTAAAACTATTAATCCTGAGTGTAGAACAAACATTCTTAATTCAGTAGCTTTATAGTATTCTATACTATCTAATTCTCTAGGCAGACGACTAAATTCACATGGTACGCACAATCGTAGATTCATTAAATTATTAGATATTTTAACTTTATTTTCCTCAGCTAATCTAACGTCCTTCTTACCTTTAACCCAAAACTCTAACAAACGTTTTGTTACACCCAAGGAAACATTATGCATATAATCAAGACACACGTCGATAATTATTTTTATAGGTAATAATTCAAGAAGGCTACTACCTTTATGATATTCTTCGTGTTTTAGAACGAAATCGTTTTTTAAATCATGATTCATCGGTTCTAAGAGGCGATTCTATTTCTAAAAATGACATTCTATTATTTATGAACGAACCTTCCTGAGTACATGAGGTACATCCAAAATAAGCATTAAATGATTTCACATTAAGTACAAAGCTTTTAGCTGAAGAATCACAAATTACATGACCAACACCAAACTGATACAAATTTCTACCGATAGTTAAGCCATTATTTAATAATATTGAAAGATATGTAATAAATGGATTTAAAAATTCATGAATTGACTTTGGTTTGGTATTTTACCCAAGGTGTCGTATAGACAAACATTACCACTAGGCCATCGTGCACTTATGATTCAGATTCCGATACACTTTAATTTAGGTTGATAACGTGATGTGCGGCTGAGGGAAACACGGTACCGTGTCATTATTTATTATATATTATAGATAATGTATCAATCTAAATAAAGAAATAAAAATGGTACTTTCTTAAATATAAATAAAAACTTTTTATAAATATTATTTTAAAACATAACTGTAATTATAAATGTATNTAAAACTGTAATTATAAATGTATATAAAAAAAAAACATAAACACATATAAAAAATTATATTGTCACTCGTTTAATTTGTCCCTTTGTACTCTTGTGTTAGCACGCCTAAGCCATTCGGCAATTTCTATTTCTACATTAGAGTTTGTCATGGGTTTTTTTGGCATTATCTTTTTATTTTATTGCATCCTGAAGTGCAATTTGCCTTTTTGGGGTATTAAAGAAGTTATAAATAGATTGGACTGTACCAAGGCAGTTTTTGACTTGAGGGATACTACATGCGGCACTAACTGCTAAATTGAAACTATGGGTAGCACAGTGTGAGTATAGAGCTAAATTATATTTTTTTTTATATACGATTGAACTCCGTGAAATTCACCACTCTTAGTACTAACCCCATCATAACTTTATTCAAATAAATATGTACAATCTATTCCAGAATATTCTAGGAAATTCAAAATAGCATTTGATAAACCTTTCCCTGTTACATCTTCAACAGGGATAAAGCTTAAAAAATCTTCACATATTTATAATTACTGTCTTTATAATTTAAATACCGTACACAGATTGAAAGTTGTTCTATGTCGTTTCATCTACTGTTATAGAAAAAACTCGAGATTTATTGGCACGTTCAATAATCTGTTTTTGAATTAAATTGTGAAATATGACAATAACTTCGTTTTGAACACGGTTACTAATGTACATTGCGTTTTTTGCTGAATTTTGTAAAAAATTATTAAGCTGTTCATCAGTTATTGCTCGATATCTTAAAAGAGCCCGAAAATTATCATCGTTAGTTATAGGTTCTTCGGAAGTTACTCTTCCTGAATCTTTTGAACCACGAAGAGTCAAACCCTGCCGACCATATAATATTAAAGTTTCGATCACAGGAATCAAACATTTTTTACTTTTATTAATGTAATCTAATTGTTGTTCCGAAATTTGTAAGTCAACCTATAAAATGTTTTGATTATCAATTTCTGTTCTCATACTTGATTTTAATAATGAAGTTTTATGATACTCGAGTGAGTTATGATAACTAAATAATTCTAAAGCTTTTTTACAGTTGGTAAGTGGTTTTTTAACAAGCTGCCCCAACGTTTGATGTCTAATTCCTCCACTTCGTACAGAAAACAATACACAATACTTACAAAATGCGCCATTCATAAATACTGAATAAGCCAATCATTTATATTTGAGCAACCAACTTCTTTGAAATTTCTTTTTTCGGAAACAGGAAATTTGTAGTCTTCTGGAGGTGTCCATATCAAATTTTGAAGTCCCGGTATCAAGTCAATACTTTCAGTTGCAGGTTTATTCACATATAACCCTATATCATGAGGGTACACAAACTTTGGAATTGAAACTGAGACATTTGTATCTGTAGATGCTTTTTCTGCTGGTTCAGTTGATTGTGTCAGGTTATTGAAACTAGTTTCCTATAAATAAAATTTGAAAACTAAATAGATTAATCGAGTAATTGTAATAATTATAATTAATTTTAATATGCTTACTATCTCGTCATTTTCTTGTCGTGGTTTTTTTTAAAATCTTCGAATGTCCATTTCAATGATATTGCAAACGCCATCTTTGTATAACTAACGTCTTACACTTGATTATAAACATCTTTTAAAATACGCGACTTCCGTTATCGTGTCGTACTCGTGTTCTTTACGTCGCCGTCGCGGTCATTATATTTTGTCGATAACGTCTCAACGGAAACCGATTAACACCAAACACGAGAGTAACACAATAATAGTGGTGTGCTATTATGTTATGCATTATTATTTTATTACTAGAGCACAAGGCTTCTGTCCCCTAAAAAAACTGATTATGCGTGCACTTAAAAATCCTGAAATAAGCTCTTATAAATGCATTTTTTAACGGTTAGTAATGAAATAAATAATTAATTAAATCGTATAAACCAAAAATAATATGCTATGCTAATAGTTCTCTGCAATTTTTATAACAAATAAGATAATCAAATATCTAATATAATCAATTAAAAATGAAAAACATGATATATATTTTTCGTCAATGGGAGGGGTTTGAACCCCTAAAACCCCCTTGCGCCCGGGCCTTCCCATGAAACGTTTTAAGAACATTAATGGTATGTAACATTGTGCAGTGGGTAATATATATAATTAAAATTATATCTCATCTGATCATATTCTACTCGAACTGGGTGCTGGTCAAAAATCCACACGACCTACCCTCATTGCGGTTATAGTTAATTGATCTAAGTTCAATCTTACAAGAAGCAAAAAAATAAACCTACAAAATTTCCTTAAATATGTAGATGAGTTGTTAAGGTGATCAATTCATTTACTTCTCTTATTCAAAAACTGCTATTAATGCAATAAAAGCGTCTGATTTCTTGCCTACTAAATATAAATTACCATCACACTTATACAAAACTACTCCGAGAAAAATATTCGGTTAGATATCAGTGGTAACTCTTTAGATACCCTACTGATAAAACTTAACTTAATTTTCTTACTAATAAAGTAAGCAGAGCTCTCCAAAGCTACAAATATAAAAATTAAAATTTGTATTTATCAAAATTATCAACCCAAGATTCGTTCTTATGGAAAGCTACAAAAAAATTAATTAACAAAAAAAACTGTTCCTTTCTCTGAGATAAAAGAACAAACAACACGTGGACTATTACTGACGCTGTAAGAGCAAATATTTTTGAGGCGCACCTCTTAAATAATTTTAAACCACATTACATAACTCCTAGCAGCACTCAACAACAAATTATCGCAAGATTTCTAGATTCTCTACTACTAATGGCATTACCCGTCAAGCCTTAGTGAAATTCAGTATATAATAAAAATATTTCCAACCAATTAAGTCCCTGTTTGACCTTATAACTATCTATATTGGCAAACATATTCTTAAAAAAGCACTTGTCTTTTTATCTTTAATTTTCAATGTTTTACATAGACTATCATACTTTCTTGAGATGTAGACCTTCTGGAAACTTAATAATAGTAAAAATAAATAAATAAAAATCTAATCCAATAAAATAAGCTGTCTATTGGCTAATGTCTTTCCTGAATACTGTCATTCATGTCATTGTAAATAAATTTGTTATAAGAATTGCTTATTGTACAACAGACGTATAGAAAAATTTGAATTTATTTATTATTTCAAAATAAATTTTATTCTGCGAGCAATTGAGTATTAATGATAAAACAAACACTATGTATAAGAAACTTTAATAAAAGTAACAAAAAAAATGTTTATTCACCTAAAATTCAATTTCTACATACATCTACGTCATTAAAATTTCTAATAATAAATTTTTGTTATAAACCCAACACAACCTTATATACACAACCTTTATATATTAAACAAATAACAAATTGCAGTTAAAATTGTTATAAAAAAAATTATGTCGATCTTTTTCTATCTCTATAAAATATAAGAAACATTAAAAAAGAGTTTAAGGTTATTTTTTCTTAAAAATAATACCATATAATAAATTTAGTTTTATAAAATTAAAAAACATGTTTAAAAAAAANAAAAGTAACAAAAAAAATGTTTATTCACCTAAAATTCAATTTCTACATACATCTACGTCATTAAAATTTCTAATAATAAATTTTTGTTTTAAACCCAACACAACCTTATATACACAACCTTTATATATTAAACAAATAACAAATTGCAGTTAAAATTGTTATCAAAAAAATTATGTTGATCTTTTTCTATCTCTATAAAATATAAGAAACATTAAAAAAGAGTTTAAGGTTATTTTTTCTTAAAAATAATACTATATAATAAATTTCGTTTTATAAAATTAAAAAACATGTTTAAAAAAAATATTTTATATGAGTTTTTCTTATTTTGGTATTTAAATCAAGTTTTAGTTGTATATTGTGATACTCAAAGTGAAGATTTTAAAAAATACGTGATTAACTCATTAAACCACATTCGTGTTCAAAATGGATGGGACTCAATTCAACAAACAGAAATTAAACTTGAGAACTTCACAATTAACACCAAAAGCGTCACAAGTGAAATTATCGATGAAAATAACTTTATTCAAAAACTCTACCATATAACATCTCTATTAAATTGTGAATATAGTAATATAATGCAAACTTTCAATGTAATTTTAAACCTTGTTTTAAATAAGTGTAAAGTTAATTATGTAAATAAACAATATGACGCATTGATATATTGTACTGAGCAAATTATTGATATTTTTAAATATTCAATAAATATGTTTCAAATAATGTTGAAAACAGCAAAATATCTCGAGAACATCGACCTACGAATTATAGACTCTACAACTTTTAATATTAAAACTGTAGATTATGAAATAAATTATTTTTATGAATACGCAAGGGATTTAAAATATCCCCCGAAATTTATGATATATAATACTGTTGTCACTAGTTATGAAAATATAAAATGTTTTTATAATAAAACTAAATTAATGTTATCAAATCTTTATAAAAATAAAAAAGTTTGTGGGACAGAATATAAAAGTTCTATTTCAACCAATTTATTGATAAAATATAACATCGATCAAATGGAAAAACTAATAGAGGACTCAGACGATTATATTAATGATATTCATAAAGATCTTGAATTATATAAATCCAGAATAATTGAAAATTGTATTTCAAAACTAGGATTTGAACAACTAGACGGAACAAATACATTCAAGTAAGATTTATAGTTTAGTATGTTTACATAATAAAATTTAAGAATTTTATTTTGCTATTTAAATATTATCATTATTAAGATATTAATTTGGAGGGTTCATAGATTTTTTTTCCATACAGGTATATTCATTCCAAATATAAAATATATGGCCTTTATGATGGCATTGCATTGTGTAATCATTTTCTTTCTTGCAACGGTTGGAAATCATTAAAACATATAGCTGTTAAAACTGATTTTACAAATGAAAATTTAGTATATTTTAAAGACATCACAGAAACAGTTGATACGATAAATTATTATTTTGTGCGGTCATGTCTTTCACTTATTTTAAGATGTCGCTATATTGAAATACTTCGTAATTTTAATGTAATGTTGGGACAAATAATTAATGTTTGTAAATATGAAAATAAAATTAATTGTGCGGTTAAGCTTTATAAAACACTAATGACATCCGATGATATGTTTAAAAAAATGTTAACTGCTCTGACTACTTTAAGATACTACAAAAAGAATAAAAATTATCGACATCAAGAAGTGCTCATAGAGAAACTGTTAGAATTTTTTATTGATTTTTTGAATGACGTTGGAAAAAAGTATTTTTCCTCATTGATATTTACTAATGATGGACTTTATGATGCTCAATCATTCCTTGAACACCTAGAACACGTTCATGCTTTTGCTTTACAGAGAAAATTTTATGACGTAAATCAATATAACATGAAATATTGCAAAATTATAAATTGTGAAACAGACATAATTACAACATTTCTACAATTGATTCAAACCAATACCTTAACAGAATATAGTATTATTCATCATGATATGTGTGATTATTTGGAATCATTTGTTCTAAAGGTTGTGAAAAATGATTATGAGTATTTAGGTTTTAATGATTTGCCTTGTAAGAATTGACAATTATTCAAGACTCAATAATATATTGCAAATATGTTATTATAAAATAATTAATTTTTCCTAAAAATATTTGTAATACGACAAAAAGTTCGCTCTTATTTTTGTTTATTTGTATATTGTGTTAATATTTTACTTTGGTTGAGCCAATTTTGGAGCATATAACCGCCGTGCTTTATCAGTAATACTGTGTTTGAAGGTCGGTGGATACCCAAATACATTAATCGTATTCTCTAATTACAAAAGTATTAGGCATAATAATATTTTTTTATATAAGTCTTCCTTTTTTTCTCTGTCTCTCTATTATTTCTGTTTCCTTTTTAATTATTTAAAAAAATATATATAACTTTCAGAATATTTAGAGATTAATTCTATTTAATTTAGTTGCTTATTGTTGTTTGTATCACTAGGTCATTTTCCAAAATGCCAAAAAAAATTTTAAGTAAATTAAAAATTTAATTGCACAGTAGTTAATTATCTAATAATATACTTAATCTTTATTGTTAGTAAATGATTAAAAACAGAACAGATATATATGAATATTAAACTTATTAATTTTGAACTAAAAAATAATGTAATATAATAAAAACCCAGCACAGTGGGATCGTGGCATAGTGGAGACGTGGCATAGTTGGGTCCAGTATAGATTTAATCTGACAGTGATTAAAATCACTATCATAAGAAACGCTTCGATGCAAATCTGTAGATAGTGTTTAATTTTTAAAAATTGATGAATAATTACAAAAGCAACATCAACTTCTATTTCCTTAATTATACCCAGATCAGTAAATTTTTAATTATATATTATATAATTTTTAAAATTAATTGTTTTCAAATTATTATTGATTTTGATTTTTATTATGTTAAATTTAATCATTTTGAACCTACTTTTTATTGTCCTTTAAAGTGAAAGTTTTATTTAAAAAAAAATGTATTTATTACCATAACATGTAGCTCAATTGGCAAGTTTGAAATTGACATTATTAATAATAGAAAAAAATGAAATTGTTAAGATTAATATGCATTCAGGGAATTTTATAATTACTATTTACAGTACATTTATCAGAAAAGTTTGATTTTTTTATATTTTTATCGTAAATTACATTTGTAGTTGAATACTTTTATCATATCAAATCTAATTCTACAATGAATATTTTAAGAATAATAGAAATTAATGTTTTTAATTGTTTGTATGGAAAAAGCGGGTCAAGCTACTTTTTAACTCAAAGCTAACTCAAAAAAAAAATGCAAAATATTAATTGCCATAGACGGATTTGAACTTCGTACCCTATGCGTGAAAGACACTTGTGTTACCTACTCGGCAACTGTTCGTTGCTTTCACCGCTTGATAAAATTGGCTTTTTAAGCTAACTCAAATTAAAAAATTACTTTTTCGACTTGAAAAAAGCAAAAAAAATTAATAAGTTTAATTTCTTTTGTCTTATGAACTTTATTCTATGTCAATTAAATTATAAAATATTCATGAAAGTCAGTGTATTGTCTTTATAAGGTACTTTAAAATAAAATAAAATACAAAACCCAGGATTTTAACACAAAAATAGCATATTTTTGAATACGGTAGCTATTTGCGCATAGAAGATAAGGTGTCGGGTCAAATTTTTTTTTTTCATTTTATAGTATATAACATAAACTTAAATTTGATATATGCTTAAAGGACGCAGTATTTCCGGAATAATTTCAAAAATTAAGTTGAAAAATTTAGTTTTTGTAAAAAAGTTACTATTTTGAATCTCTCTCTGTGAGCAGAATAAGTGTTAGATTTTCAAAAAAAATTATATCATAGAAAGGGAAATATCTGAGGTTTTAGTATAAAAAAAAATTATGTTGATTTGTTTATTTTTGAAAAAGTTATGGAAGTTTTAAGAAAGAAAAGTGAAAAAAATTACAAAATATCGATTTTTTAATTTGTTATTTTTTTGGAGATTTCCTCTATTTGCGGGGAACGAGGGCAAATTTTTCAATTTTTAAGGGTAATGTATTCAACTAGATACGATTTGTGATCTTTTGACGTATTGTTGAAAAAAATCGGTTCGTTGAAGTCTGAGAAAAAGTGGTAACAGACACAAAAAAAAAAAAAACACATCATGATAAAATTAATACCTTCTCAGCTTCGCACGAAGCTAAAAAAGTTGTCTAACACTAAAGAGTTAGAAATCGATATTTGTATTATGTATGGCTCAAGATGATAAAAATAAAACTTAAGATTCGATGATTAGTAGAAAATACTGGATCGTATATATACAGGCTTCAACGTCTGAGGTTATTAGCCTTGTGTTCATGTTACATGGCGTGAATTACATTAATATTAAAGATCGAAGATTACAATGGCTTTAAATTTGGATACATGTTAATTGAAGATTGTTTTAGCTTCGATGCGAAGCTGAGAAGGTATTAATTTTTAATGTTGATTTTCGTGAGGAATTTTAGAATTTTTTGCTGTTGTCTTCGTGGAGAGCTTCTCCTAAGCTGTTTGGTATTGATAGGGAGTTTCGAGTATTTTGAAGATCAGGGCAGTCTAAGATGACGTGTTGAATAGTTAGGTCTTCTTGATATTTGTGATATTTNCAGTCTAAGATGACGTGTTGGATAGTTAGGTCTTCTTGGTATTTGTTATATATTGGTGGTGGATCTTTGCTGATTAGGAACTAATGAGTTCAAAAGGAATGTTGAATTCTCACTATGTTAAGAGTGAATTCTTGTCTTCTATTTAGATTGTGTAGGTAGTGCTACTTTTTGGTGCATTTTTTAATTTTTTTAATTAATTTTACGGCGGCACAAAATCCCAGTAACTTGTCATGTCATATTTACTTTATTTTTTATGGATATATTTATGTCGTTAGCCGATATGTCACTGATTGTTGGATGTAAGATGGTTTGGTCGCTATATATGCTGACTTATCTGCCATTTCGTTGCCGGCTATACCAATGTTTGAAGGTACCTACATAAATTCTATATTTTTTTTTGTAGAATATAGTTCGGTCTGGGTTATTTTATTTGTCGAGAAGGGGTTTGGAATGCTAGAAGGGCGCTTAATGAGTCGCTTATTATTAGAATATTGTTATTTGAAAGTTAGATTAGTTAATTTGATGGCTTCTAAAATGGCATAGTTTTCTGGGGTAAAAATGCTGCTCTCCGGATGGAGTTTATGAAGTATTTTGGTTTCTTCTTTGATGATTGTAAAGCCATTTCCATGTTGAGATTTGATTGCGTCGGTATAGATATGCATAAAATTGGAGTATTTATTTTGGATGATTTCTTTGAAGTGGAACCTGATAATTGTTGGTTTTGTTTCAAACTTATTATATTTGGTTAATTCAGTATTGAGATGGATTTTCCAAAGCCAAGGTGGACATTTTTGGAATGTTATTTTATTTTTAATAGATGTGTAGATTCTAAACTTGGCGCACAGATGAGAGAAGGTATCTTGTATGAGTGGTATTTGTTTCCTAATTGTGTTAGTTGGATTTATGTTTTGGTTTTTGAAAATCTTTTATATCTTATATGGTTAGGAGTGTTTTTCCTTTTTATGCGGTGGATATGTATGTCTTTTTCTCTTCGTAGTTTGAGGGGCAGTTCTTCAGCATAACATAAAAGGCTTTCGATTGGGCTGGTTCTAAAAGCTCCTATNTTTTTTTGCATTTTTTAAATATATTTATAAAACATTTTAAAAATATTGTCACAATATATTTTTTATAATATTTTAGAAATATACCTTTAAAATATTGTGAGAATGTAATATTCGCTGCCAAAGTATATTCTGAGAACATTGTGAGAAAAATTTCAATATATTCTGGTTATATTCTAGAAATATTTTAATATCAAAAATAAATATTCTAGAAATATTCTAGAAATATTTCATTGCTATGTGGGCGGCTATACCAATGTTTGAAGGTACCTACATAAATTCTATTTTTTTTTTTTGTAGAATATTGTTCGGTCTGGGTTATTTCATTTGTCGAGAAGGGGTTTGGAATGCTAGAAGGGCGCTTAATGAGTCGCTTATTATTAGAATATTGTTATTTGAAGTAGTTAGATTAGTTAATTTGATTGCTTCTAAAATGGCATAGTTTTCTGGGGTAAAAATGCTGCTCTCCAGATGGAGTTTATGAAGTATTTTGGTTTCTTCTTTGATGATTGTAAAGCCATTTCCATGTTGAGATTTGATTGCGTCGGTATAGATATGCATAAAATTGGAGTATTTATTTTGGATGATTTCTTTGAAGTGGAACCTGATAATTGTTGGTTTTGTTTCAAACTTATTATATTTGGTTAATTCAGTATTGAGATGGATTTTCCAAAGCCAAGGTGGACATTTTTGGAATGTTATTTTATTTTTAATGGATGTGTAGATTCTAAACTTGGCGCACAGATGATAGAAGGTATCTTGTATGAGTGGTATTTGTTTCCTTATTGTGTTAGTTGGATTTATGTTTTGGTTTTTGAAAATCTTTTATATCCTATATGGTTAGGAGTGTTTTTCCTTTTTATGCGGTGGATATGTATGTCTTTTTCTCTTCGTAGTTTGAGGGGTAGTTCTTCAGCATAACATAAAAGACTTTCGATAGGGCTGGTTCTAAAAGCTCCTATTGAAATGCGAATACCTTATTTGTGTAAAGAATCTAATATTTTGAGTAGATTTTCTTTAGCTGAACTATAAATAATGACCCATAATTTATTCGAGACAGTATTAGGGACTTGTATATATTAAGAAGACTTTTTGAGTAAGCACCCCAGGTATGAAGTAAGTGTGTTTTTATTATATTCATTTTCATTTTACTAGAGTTTTTAAGTTCTTTTAGGTGTTGGGTTCATTTTAATTCACTGTCAAAGATCATTCCTAATATGCATAAAGATTTGCAGAAGGGTATTTCAAAATTATTAAGGAATAATTTGTGGTTCTCTGCCACACGGGTATAAAAACAAATACATTTACTTATTCCTGGGGAGAATTTGAAACCATTCTTTTCAGACCAATTTTGGAGACTATTGATCGCTTGTTGTAGTATTTCCATTGTAGTTTTCATATTTTGTCTACTGTTATAAATGTGGCAGTCGTCTGTAAAAAGTAGATGTTTTGTAGGTTTTGGTATTTCTTTAAATATATTATTAAAAGCCTTGGGAAGGCCGTTTTCAGTTAAGTAGGTATTTGATAATTCATTGTGAACTTTAACTTGTATTGTGCGGTTTGTTAAGAAGTTTTGGAGGAATATGAACATGTGGTGTAACCACATTCTTGAATAATTTTCAGGACCCTGTTTCGCCATACCATGTCGTAAGCTTTTTCTAAGTCTAAGGCTATTAATATTAGATGTTGTTTTTGATTTTTTGCATTACAAATATCATTGTGTAAGGAAGAAAGGGTGTCGAGGGTTAAAAAAGTATGGGATCCCGTCTGGGCCTGGGCTTTTGCTTTTACATCCAGATAATGCATTTTGTAGTTATATTGAAGAGTTGGTTTATTGTGTTTTCTTGTAGGTAGATGTTAAGTTCAAGTTTCCTTGTAATGTTTCCTTTTATCTTGTGTTTGAAATTTAGAAATTGCATTCACAGTTAAAATTACAGTTATTTTAGATAAAATGCTGTGCAAAAAATTTGGTTATATCTGTAAGAGATGAAAGTAAGTGGCCATTATGGATTAGATTGGATGGTAGGGGCTGATGAGATATTCCTCTAATGGATTCGATTTTGTTCCACATGTTGGTTGTAGATGTGTTTGAGTTTATTGAATGTGTGTATTTTTGCCAAGATTCAGTTTTACTTTTTTTTTGTTATAATTCTTGCTTGTGCATGTAATTTCTTTAGCGTTATGTAGTCTTCTATGGATTTGGTTTTATAAAATTTGTTTAAAGATTTTTTGTAATCTCTAATTAAAAGGAATGCAATAAAGCGCATTCCTTGTTCCACCATGGAACTGTTTTCTTTTTGATGTTAATTTTACCGATGGTCAGATTTCCGGCGTCTAATATTATATTAGATAAATTGTTAATAATTGAATTTATTTCGGTTTGGTTAAGTTCGTTACTTAGATTGACTGGGTGGTCACTGAGTGCTTGATTTATAATGTCTCGGTAGAGATCCCAATTGGGATTTTTTAAGTTCCAACGGACTGGTGGGGATGTAGGGACTGTTAAATCTATGTTTTTTTTATAGAAATTTGCCACTGGTCGCTGCTGCTATATTCGTTAAGTACGTTCCATTCGGTGTTTGATGCAAATGTGCTATTTGTTATTGTGAGATTGCATTGTGGCGGGTATATTTTCCAGTATTTAATAATATAAGTTTCTCATTTTCTAGAAATTTTACCATAATTTTGCCTCTTTGGTCCGTAAAATGAGATCCCCAGATTTGGTTACGACTATTGAAGTCACCGAGAAAGATAAATGGTTTGGGTAATTGTTGGATGATATCTGTGAGATCATTAAGTCTAAAAATGGTGCTATCCGGTAGATAAATATTTCAAATAAATAATGGGGTTTTAAGACTAATGGAGATAGTTATAACTTTAAGTGAAGATTGAATATGAATTTTAGTGCTTTCAATGAGGTTATTGACGTAAATAGCAATTCCGCTACTTGCACGGAGGTATGTTTGGCGATTTTTGAAAAAACCTTTGTATTCTTTTATGGGAAAGGTGGTGTTAGGTTTTAAATTAGTTTCTTGGAAGCATAGGGCGATTGGTTCGATGTGAGTTTTTGCTCTGTGGGTATTGTGTTTGTGTTGACCGTTTATATTCCATTGAATGATAGTGTCCATGATTAGAAATTTTAGAGATTATGTAATGAAACTAGTATGGTTTTTGTTATGTTTAGTTTTGGATAAAATTTTGTTGAAGGGGTTGAGATTGGAAAAGTAGATTTATAAGCTTTGTTAGACATGATTTGAGTGATCTGTCCTTTATTTTAGGATGAATTTGTTCGATTGTGTCCATTAAAATTGGGATGCTTGTGTTTACGTCTTCGATAAGAATGTGGATATTCATTAATTTATTGTTAAAGTTATCCAGGATATATTTAAATTGGGTGTATATGATTGGTAAGGGCTCATTGATAGTAAAGTGTTCGATGATTGGATTTAAATTTTCGTCCAAATTTGCGTCGAGACTGATTGATGAATTTTTTAACGAGATTTCTTGGTAGTTTTATAATTTTTTTTCTGAGGTAGATGTCAATACAGCATTTGGGCAGTCCGTAGGTTAAGAGGAAGACGAATCAGACAACAGTCTCTTCTGAGATTCTGTTCGTAAGTGAGGCAGTGTTTCATCGGAATAATTTGGGGTTAGAGGAAAAAAAATTGTTTCTTCCGGATTTTCGGCCCAATCCGATTTGGTTTGATCAAGTATATCAAGCGTCGGGCTTGTGGGAGAGCGGATATTTTCAATTAATTTAGTGTGGTCTATGATGAAGTCATCAGGTTCGTTTAATTTGTTTGGGTAGGATGGAGTATTAGTTTTTTGTATATCAACTACATTTTTACAATTATTTGAAGTGTGTCCACTGGCTTTGCATATAAAATATGTTACTATGTCGTCGGTGAAAAAAATTCTGAAATGCTGTATATTTTTTTTTTGATAAAATATTAATGGTATTTTCTAGGGGTAATTATCTAAAAATAAATTTATGCAGTTACTGGGGATTGGTTGCTGGTTATCAAAATTATACCGAAAATCATGTGAACCAAATAGGCATGATGCAGAATTTGAACCTATTAACTATACCTATAGTACGATTTCTTTCAACGATATGTCAAATGATCACAAATCGTATATAGTTGAAGTAATTACCCTTAAAAATTGAAAAATTTCCCTCGTTCCCCGTAAACGGGGGAAATCCCCCAAAAAATTACAAATTTAAAAATCGCTAATTATCAAAATTTTTTAAATTGTTTTTTACCTAAAATTGTTGTAATTTTTTTTAAAAATGACCGAATCAATATAATATTTTTTTTTATAGATACTTTTGGTATTTACCTATCATTTTATATACTTTTGTGAACATTTGACCCATTATCATCACACAAGAAGGGTTTCAAAATGGTAATTTGTAACTTTTTTACAAAAAATTAACTTTTTCAACTTAACTTTTGAAAATGTTCCGGAAAGACTGACACTTTTGGAATTGCCTTCGTGGTGAAAATGGCTACCAAATCCTTTTTATGTTTGAAAATTCTCGATTTTATATTTTACATTTTTTAATTTAAAATGCTATAACTTTTTAAAAAATGTATGGATAAATAAAATTTTTCATAAGGAGTAGTATTTATATACTAATAATACCAGTGGTTCCCAATGGGGGCGATATCGCCCCCCAGTGGGCGGTGAAGTGTCACTGGGGGGCATTGAACTAGTTTTGGGCGGTAGGGGGGCGGTGAACTAGTTTTGGATTGTAGAAGGGCGGCAAACGTGTTCACGCAAAAATGTTGTACATAGTGCGACTTAAAAATAATTCATATAATATACTTGATAATCCATATAATAACTATAAGTTACTAATAGGTACTATATGTTGAACAATGTACAATAACTTATCTTTCATTGTTGACAAATTTATTATCTTTATTATTTTAGCAATTATGCGTGGACATTAAATTTTATTATATAACCAACTTTTTAGTACACCGTTTGATTTGACCCGCGCATGTTGTATTAGTTTTCGTTATTATACTCGTAATATTCAGTATGTTAAAAACGTGTTTTTTAAAAAAAATTTTCCGTTTCATAAAATTGTATTTTCAAAAACTGTCTGATGCAAAAAGAAAATGCCGTCAATATAATACGACGTATTTAAAGTTCGGATTTATTCCATCGTCATCCAACATGCAGCTTCCAATGTGTTTACTTTGTAACAAAGTGTTCTCCAATGTGGCAATGAAACCATCTCGTTTGCAGGAATATTTGCAAAAAGTTTATCCTGACAAACAGAATAAAGATTTGTCGTTTTTCACAAATATTAGGGACAAGTTTCAGAAGGCGCCATCAGTCTCAGACTTATTCGCAGGCTCATCAAAACAATGCGATGATGGTTTGATTGCTTCTTACAATATATCAAAATTGATTGCAAAATCTGGAAAAACCCACACCATAGGTGAAGAGTTAATACTTCCAGCTGCCAAAGAAATTTTAAAAACGGTTTTACACCATTTAGCCACATACAGTGTAATCAAAAATGTCCCATTAAGCAAAGATACTGTGTGACGGTGAATTGATGAAATGGCGGAAGATGTTGAAATTTCATTATGTGAACTTCTAGTATCTACCCAATTTTCATTTCAAATCGACGAATTAATATATTGATCTTTCAACTCTAGCGCGAGAACTATCGTGACACTGTTTTTGGCATTTTACTTATGTATAGTGATTTAAAATATACGGTGATTAATATTTAGCCGCCTGGTTATTATTTATTTAATATAAAATAAACCTTAATCACAACATGTTGCTATAACTTTTTTAAGAATGCATGAATCAATTCTATTCATCAATGATAAATACTTTATATATACCTCTCTCATTCGACATACTTTTTTTTAATCGGATCAATTCCCTCAATACAGGGGAGTGCAAATCCTTAAAAAATAAATATAGAAAGTAGAACTTTTTCAACTTAACTTTTGAAAATGTTCCGAAAATACTGACACTTTTATATATACCTTAAATTAAAACTTATGTAATATTCTTTATTTTGAAAAAAGTTATAATGATTACCGTAGCAAAGATGTGCTATTTTTGTGAAAAAATTCTTGATATTATATTTTACATTTTTTAACATTATGTTGCTTTAACTTATTTAAAAATGCATGAATCAATTCAATTCTTTAATGATAATTACTTTATATATACCTATACTTTATATATAGTGAAAACGGACATCAAGTTAAAGAAAAACGTACGATTTCCGTGAAAAAATTCTCGATTTTACATTTTTTAATTTATATTGCTATAACCTTTGGAAAAATGTATGTATCAATTGTATTACTTTTTATAAATTATTTATTATATACCCCTTTCATCTGACACACTTATTTTGTAAATTGGATCAAAACTTTTAAAATTTTCAGAAATATTATATAAATCAAATTGATATAGCATAGAAAGTTAAACTTATTTAAACGTTTTTGCTCTTTCTATGTAGAGAAAAATAATTTTGAAATTTGAACTAGCTTAAATTGCTATTTTTTTCAATCGTCGGAAGCGACGTACGTTTGCCGAGTCGGTAAAACTTATGTCTTACGTGCTTGGGGTACAAGGTTTCCATCCGCATATGGTAAGTAATTTTTTCCATTTTTTTCTTGATGCTTTTTAAGTTAAAATAAATTTTCAACTCCTTTGATTTTAATCTCATTTAGATTCAATTACTTCAATAAAGATCATGGATCCCATCACTGTAGTCGCCTTTTGCGAGAAGAAATTTCTTATTCATATTAAAATTATTTTACTATATTTTAGGTTTTAGCTTCGATTCAAAACTGAGAAGGTATTTTTTTGTGACTATCATTTATTTTCTCTGCTCTAACTTGATCTACATTTTTCAATGATACGTCAAATTATTACAATTAGTTGCAGATATTACCCTCAAAAATTGAAAAAAAATTTTAATCTATAAATAAAACAGTTACTTGTCCCATATTTTCCATACAGACAATTAAAATCACTAATTTCTAATGTTTTGGAAGTATTAATTAACGAATCAAGTTTGATATGACAAGTTTCAACTACAAAATTAAATCATTCTACTTTGTAATTTCATAATATTTTATATATTACTTAAATTAAAACTAATGTAATATACATTATTATGGAAAAAAAATTTTCGGACTTTATTTGGTTTTCACAGTGAAAACAGACATCAAAATTAATAATAAAAAACCCAGCACAGGGAGGTCCGGCACAGTGGTGACGTGGCATAGTTGTATCAAGTATAATGATATCTGACAGTGATTAAAATCACTATAAAAAAAAACGCTTTGATGCAAACCTTTAGATAGCGTTTAATTTTAATAAATTGGTGGATTATTCCAAAAGCTGCATGATCTCTAATTCCTTATTTATATCCTCATTACAAGTTTTATGATTTATAAGTGTAATATATGAATAAATATATATATTTATAATATATAAATATATAAAGGGAAATGATGTTATTTAAAAAAAGTATATATCAAATGAAAGAAGTATATAAATATTATTTCTTATAAAAAAATTGTATTGTATTGCATTTTTTAAAAAGTTATAACATTTTAAAGTTAAAAATGTAAAATATAAAATCGAGAATTTTAACACAAAAATAGCATAAGGTAGCCATTTTCATCGTGAAAACAATGTAAAGTCCGAATTTTTTTTCCATAATAAAGTATATTACATAAACTTCAATTTAATATATATATATAAATGTGTCAGTATTTCCGGAACACTTTTAAAAATTAAGTTGAAAAAGTTAATTTTTTTTGAAAAAGTTGTCATTTTTAATCCCTCCCTCCCACATAGCAATGAAATATTTCTATAATATTCCTAGAATATTTATTTTTGATATTAAAATATTTCTAGAATATAACCAGAATATATTGAAATATTCTCACAATGTTCTCAGAATATACTTTGGCAGCGAATATTACATTCTCACAATATTTTAAAGGTATATTTCTAAAATATTTGTCTGTTAAGTAATTTTTCTTGTTTAAAAAAATTCAAAGTAAATACAATTTTATATTCAATTTAGATAAGATTCATATAATTTTTTTGAAAATCAGCGATCCCATCACCATGATTCTCCCATCTCCTTGTAAGTTAGAAACTGACTATTATTGTTGATAATATAGAAATATATTCTAACTATAATAAAAAACTTTTTAGGATTTTTAGTTTCACAGGACAATAATAAGATATAATTGCGCTGATAAAACTAAAAAAAATTTAACTCGATATGCCTGCAAATAATAGCAACAAGGTTTTTTTTACTGTCCTTGACACTTAGCTTAATTGAATTAGGTTAATTAAAATTGATACTAATTAGAGAAAATGGCTGTTTAATTATTAAAGATTTAGGAATATGTATATATAATACATAAGTATTATAACAAGATACCAATATCATCCAAAGATCTAACTAAAGGGAGAAAAGAGGATGGCTTGTGTCTCTTAAGTTACCTCAGTTGGCCAACAAGATATATATTTATAATATTTAAAAAATTATATTGATAATATATTCAACAAATATTTCAAGTTAAATATTCTATATTTATTTTAATTAATATATTTTCATAATATTTATAAGCAAATATTTAAAAAGATATTTTTTAAGCACAATGTAGAAATATTTTCGATGTAATATACTGTATTTATTCTCTTTAATATATTATCAAAATATACATAAACAAATATTTAAAAAATTATATTGTGAGCATATTATGAAAATTTTTCAATAGAATATATTTTTTATTATGTTTAAGAGATATTGTCACAATATTTTATTCAAAATATTTTAAAAAGTATTTTGTAAGAATATTTTGACAATATTAATATATTGAAATTGCTATGTGGGCTGTGGGCAAGTAAAGGGCCAAATTTATAAAAAAAATATATTAAATGAAAAGACATTACGCATCTATAAAAAAATTATATTGATTTGTTCATTTTTGAAAAAGTTATGGCAGTTTTAAATGAAAAAAATTGAAAAAATTTCGAAAATTGGCGATTTTTAAACTTGTAATTTTTCTGGAGATTTCCCCCATTTACGGGGAATGAGCGAAAGTTTTTCAATTTTTGAGGGTTATGTCTTCGATTAAATACGATTTGTGATCATTTGACATATCGTTAAAAGAAATCGGTTTCGTGAGAGCTGAGAAATGTAGTAACAAACACAAAAAAAAAAAAATACATTATAGTGAAACCAATATCTTCTCAGCTTCACATTGAAACTAAAAGTTGAATTTGTTACCATAACTTTAAGCTCAACATCAAGTTTGAAATTGATATCATTAACATTAAAAAAATGTTATTGTTAAGATTAATATGGAGTCAGTTAATTTTATAATTACTATTAAGTAAATTATACAGTAAATTTATAAGAAATACTCATTTTTTTTTCATTTTTTTCGTTAAAATAGGCCAAGTCAGAACTGAGAAAATAAATGACGTCCTCAAAATGAAACCACATAGTAATATTATTTTAATATGAATAAGAAATTTCTTCTCACTAGGGAAGACTATGTTAATGACATCTTTGATCATTATTGAAGTTATTGAAAATAAATAATATAAAAATCGAATGAGTTTGAAACTCGTACTCCAATCGCGTAACGACTCGGCAACCGTTCATCGCATTCATCAACTGAAAATATTGGCACTTTTTCTTTTAAACTAGTTAAAAAAAAAACAGCACAGGGAGGTCGCGGCACAGTGGTGACGTGGCATAGTTGGATCAAGTACATAGGCGTCATTTGGGGGTGGCAAAGGGGGCAGTTGCCACCCCTGAATTTCTGAACCCAGTATTTTGCCACCCCAGAATTTTGAAGTAAAACTTAATAATTTCCAATTATCTAATTAAAAAATATTCTATACATGAAAGATTCTTGTCAATAATAAAAATGATAATAATGCGTATGCGTATCAGTCCTGTGTTCGCGTATGTAGTAGGGCGATGGTTAGCTGGCACGGCTGCGGGGAAACACCTGAGTGATGACACCGCGACTGTGTCGTAATATTGTTATTGTATATAAATATATTATGTACATATGTACAAAAAATGTTTACAGAAATAGTACCCTTATCAATGTCGCGACAACATTAACAAGCTATACTAGTTTCCTAGAAAGATTATCGGTTATTTCCATCTTAAATGGTATAGCCACTATTTTTGCTATTGAGCAGAGTTAGTTGCTAGAGTAGCTTTATGCCAGTTTTTTATTTTTGTGATCAAAGACATGGTAAGTTTATAAAATTAATTTTACAGGTTTAATTAGTTATGTATAAGTACGGTATTTTAGTTCTTTATCGTATTATTCACTATTGTCAGAGCCGGCTTGGTAAAATCGGGGCAACGTGCAAAATATTTTTGCGGGGCCTATTTAGTGGTTGAAATTTTTTTAAGACCTTTTTTTTTTTTGCTCGTCCCTCATCTGAACCGCTTTCAAGCCGGCCCTGGCTATTCTATCACGTATTTTACATTAATAAAATTTTGTTTTGAAAGATTCTATACAACGAGTTTATATCAACTGTAATCAATCTGTTCCACACCATATAGCTACTAATTTTTCATAATAGGTATACTTATAGTCAGGCCCCCCACACGAATTTTTGAAGTACGATACTGTAAATAAAAACCGGTTGGTTTTTTTTTTGCTTATTCATATTTCTGCCGGGAACTCAAAGAGGCCAGGGCCCCGGTTCCATGGTACCGACTGGCCCCCCCTTGTGGGGGTCCTGCTTATAGTATTAGAGTATAAGGGGATATGGGCCAAATTAAATGCAGATTCAAATAAAGCAGATCAAATTAAATAAAAATCTTTATCGATCCAAGCCTACACATTTTTTTTTATCCAGATGATTTTTTGATTTGAAATAGCTTGTGGTCTTAGTACACTAAAATTAGTTCTCAACGGATCAGAAAAAATTATGCATGCCTTAAATCCACAAATAATTCATTAAATGTCAATTTGTATTTAAACCCATTAAAATTGATTACAACTGTTATCTTAGTGTTTTTTTGTTTCATAAACTTATTTTATCACCTCAGAAAAATTAATGTTTAAAAAAGTTTTAAACGTATTTAATTCATTCTTTTTTCCAAAATACATTTAAGTTGTAACGCAAATAAGTACATTTAGAATTGAAGACGTTGATGCGATGTAGAGAAAACATTTTTAATTTGTATGAGTATTTAAAAAAATGGTTGTTGAGGTGGCAGAATTAAGTATTCCGTGTATTGAATTGGATCCTAAATAGCTGTAGTATACAAAAAATTTACAAAAATTACAATAAAACCTTACTGTGTTTATCTTTAAGAAATAAAAACTCCTAATTGTCGTCCTCCTTGTGATCATAGGTCTCATATGAAATATGCGTTACACAAGCATATTCGTAATAGTGTGTTTTCTCTATTTTTTTTGTATGATATAACTTAATTATATTATTTAATTTCATAAATTCATTTCGGCCAACTGTATTAAAGAAAAATTACCATTTTGCCAACAAAAATTATATTTTGGGAAGGGGCAAAATGCCATCTTGCCACTTTATTACTACACCTCCGCAAGCAATCAAACAAAACAATAAAATAAACCTATTCGCAAAAATTTATAAATTGGAATTCAAAAAAAACCTTATTTTGCTATTTGTTTTTATAGTTTTCTCAGAAAAATAAAAAAGGACAAAGTTCGTTGCTGTTTTACTTTAGCTCAGACCTTGCGAGTAAGAANAAGTTCGTTGCTGTCTTACTTTAGCTCAGACCCTGCGAGTAAGAAGAAACGGTTAGAAGATGAACCATTTGATGGAGTTGCTTTGGAACATCAACCAGAAGTAGAAGATGTATTAGGCTTATCAGTCGCTCTCTCAACCACAACTTCTAAGGGTAATTCTCCTTCAAATGAAATACAGAGGCTCAGGTCTTCCTCCAGTACAACTGACCAATTAATAATTGGTCCAATTAATAAACGAGATCCTACTCATGGACCAGGTATGACCAAGACATATTTTAAGGCAGGTTCATTTCAACCACAGGATTTAAATTTCCCTCAAGTGGACGGTAGGAAATTTAGGCCAGAGTGGTATAAAATATTTTCTTGGCTGGAATACAGTATTTTAACAGATAAAGCGTTCTGTTTTGTCTGCCGTTTGTTTTACAACTCTGAAGAAAATAATGCAGAAGATGTATTTACCCTCACTGGATTTTCCAAATGGAAGAAAGCTGTAAACGCGTTTAAGAAACACGAGAATAGCAGCTCACATAGAATTAGTAACATTAAACTCAATTCTCTAAAAGAAGCAGACAAAAGTGGCACTGTTATAGAAAAAGTACATTAGCAGTATTCAGAAGAAGTAAAAGAAAACAGATTGTACCTAGAAGCTTTGTGTGAATCGCTGATATTTTGTGGTAGGCAATCTATTGCTTTGCGAGGTCATGACGAATCTACAGATTCGAAGAATAGAGGAAACTTTTTGGAGCTTATAAAGCTTCGTTCTATAGATAACTGTGTAATAAAAAAATTCTTCATGAATAATCAAAAAAAATTACAGTATACCTCACCGACTTTCCAGAATGAGCTATTGTCAATTATTGTGGAACAAATTAAAATGCACATTGCCAAAGAAGTTAAAGAGGCAAAGATTTTTGCCATTATAGCAGATGAGACTCAAAACATAGCAAAACACGAACAAGTAGCTATTGTCTTAAGGTATGTTAATGACAAGTTAGAAATTCATGAGTCATTTGTAGGATTTTACCGTACTAAAAGAGCTGACGGCGTTTCACTGGCCAATGAACTGAAGAATGTTTTGATTTCGCTGGACTTGAACCTAAAATACCTACGTGCTCAGTGCTATGATGGCGCCTCAAACATGAGAGGCCCATATAAAGGAGTGGCAGCTATAATTATGCAAGAAGCTCCAATGGCAATGTACATTCACTGCAACGCGCATATATTGAACTTGTGCATTGTAAGCTGTTGCACTCGTATTACTTCAATATGAAACACGTTCTTTGTACTTCAAAGTCTTTATAACTTCATTGCGAAATCAACTAAACGACATGCTGTTTTTGAAGAAATTCAAAAAACTTTTCAAAGCCATGATGGTGGAACAGTAACATTAAAATCTTTAAGTGACACTCGATGGGCTTGTCGTGTCGAAGCCGTACGCTCTCTACTAGATAATTTTGATGCCACTCTTGCAACTTTACGGGAGATTTACGAAAAAGACAATGATAGTGGTGGACAAGCCAATGCGTTATTGAAAAATATTGAGGACTTTAACTTTGTATTTGATCTTTTATTGCTCAAAAGAGTTCTATCCCAATGTGATGTACTGTCAAAAACACTTCAGTCAAGTAGTGTGACTTATGAAATTGTGAAATCTGTAAAAAACAGCACTCTTGATGTATTAAAATCCTTCAGAACACATGAATTTTTCACAAAGTTGTTTGATCACTGCACAGACATCACTGACAAGTGCGGGTTTAAAACCGCCCAACTGCCAAGAAATAGCCGAATTCCACTAAAAATTGGTGGAGGAAGTAAAACCCCATTTGAATCTGTAGAGCAGTACTACAAAGTATCAATCCTTTGGCCAGTTATTGATATCCTAATCGAGGAGATAGAGGCTAGACTTCAAGAAAACATCCTAGATGTACTTAACCACTTAAGTGGAGTTCTAGGTGGAACCGATGTAGACACAGACTTTGTGCAATATGTGTCTAAATATTATAATTTAGACAACGAACTTCTTCTATCTGAACTTAGATGTTTCCTTAAAATGGAAGAATCAAGAAACATATCAATTCAAGAAAGAGCTGACGTTTTTGTTCATAAATCTTTGAAAAATGTGTTTCCTATGCTTTTTGAACTTTTTCGTTTGTTTTTCACGATTCCAATGAACTCGGCTTCATGTGAAAGGTCTTTTTCATGCTTGCGTCGATTGAAAACATACACCAGAAGTACAGTTGGACAGGATAGATTATCATCTTTGGCTCTTTTAGCCATCGAAAGGAATGTAAAAGTAAACATTTCTAAAGTTATTGATGATTTTGATTTAAACCGAAATAGAAGACTTCATTTTGTATGAAAATGAATATAAACATTGATTATTATTAAAAGTTTTTTTATATTTACTTAATTTCTCTCTTTTATAATTCAATGGGTTAAATAAGGTTTAGCTAGTAAGGTAAGTGATTAAAAAATATTGTTTTAAGGTAATTATGGCCTTCCATATATGGGAGTTAGTTTAACAAATGTTATTTTTGTAAAAAAAAAAAGGTCATTTAGGCTAATTAAATTTGCCACCCCAGATAAAATATTGAAATGACGCCTATGATCAAGTATAATGATATCTGACAGTAATTAAAATGACTATAAAAAAAAACGCTTCGATGCAAATCTTTAGATAGTGTTTAATTTTAAAAAATTGGTGGATTATTCCAAAAGCTACATGATCTGCTATTTTCTTATTAATATCCTGAATGAAAAAGGGATTATTAAAAAATATTATTTCTCATAAAAAAATTGTGTTGATCCATATAATTTTTAATAAGTTATTACATTTTAAAGTTAAAAATGTAAAAAATAAAATCGAAATTTTCATACAATAATATCATTTAGTAGCCATTTTCAACGTGAAGACTAGTCCAAAGGTCAAATTTTTTTTTTCATAATAAAGTACATTACATAAGCTTTAATTTAATATATATATAAAAGTGTCAGACCTTCCGGAACATTTTCAATAGTAATGTTGAAAAAGTTAAATTTTTGTGAAAAAGTTGTCATTTTAAATCCCCCCTTGTGGGCAGGTTAAGTGTCAGATTTACAAAAATTATATGACAAATGATAGGTAAAGACATCAAGCATCTATAAAAAAAAAAAATTATAATTATAAGTTCATTTTTGATAAAGTTATGGCAGTTTTTAGTAAAAAAATATGATTAAGACATTTCTTCTAACTAGAGATGACTACAGTGATGGAGTCCATAATATTCATGGAAGTTATTTTATCTAAATAAGATAAAAATAAATGGAGTTGAAAATTTATTCTAACTTAAAAAGAATTAAGAAAAAAATGTAAAAAATTTATAGCCACAGGCGAGTTTAAGCCTTGTACCCAAAGCACGTAAGACACATGTGTTGCTGAATCGGTAACCTCACATCGCTTCCGTCTACCGAAAAAGAAAACAATTTAAGCTAAATCAAATTTTAAAGTTATTTTAAAATAAAATACAAAACCAATTTTTTTTTTCAAATAAAGTATATGACATAATCTTTAGTTTAAGGTATATATAAAAGTGTCAGTATTTCCGAACACATGCAAAAATTAAGTAGAAAAAGTTAATTTTTTGTGAATAACATATCATTTTGAATCCCCCCCTGTGGGCAGATTTATAAAAAAAAATACATCAAATGATAAATAAAAATATCATGCATCTTTAAAAAAAAATTATATCGATTTTGTCATTTTTGAAAAGTTATCAGGGGCGTATTCACATATTTTTTGCCTATAGCAGTTTTAAGTAAAAAATATTGAAAAAATTCTAAAAATTAGCGATTTTTATATTTGTAATTTTTTTGGAGGTTTCCCCCGTTTACGGGGAACGAGGAAAATTTAAAAAATTTTTGAGGTTAATGTCTTCGACTAGATACGATTTGTGATCTTTTGACGTATCGTTGAAAAAAATCTGTTCAGTGAGAGCTGAGAAAAAGTGGTAACATACACAAAAAAAATAAAATAAATAAACACATCTTAGTAAAATCAACACCTTCTCAGCTTCGCATCGAAGCTAAAAACTAGTTCAAATTTCAAAGTTATTTTAATGACTTAAAGAAAGCAAAAAAATTTAAATAAGTTTAACTTTCTATACTATATCAATTAGATTTTGTTTGAGTGTTTCTTTAACTAAAATTTAAAAGGTGAACACTACTTGCGTGTCGTGATATGTATATAAGAAAAGGATTGTCGAAAGATGTTTAGAGTTATATTATTATTTCAAAGTAAAACATCTTATATAAAACATAAAAAAATCTTAAATTAATTAAGGCTATATATACACAAATATACTTAATATATTCATACACAAATTACCAATAAAATATACAATAAATGTGACCTGCATGTCCATGGATGACAGCGACCTTGATTGTGGCTGGATTGCCAATTACTGGAGACTTGGTACAGAATTCGTTCCACAGCGTGGAAATGAAGTTAACTCGTCCAGACGGTAGCGAATTTTGGCGTATGCGAAACTATGCGCGTATACACCTTTGCGATGCTTCAAAAAAGCACAAAAGAAAAAGAATGAGAAACGATAATATACTATTCAGTATCAACGATACTCAAGCGAGCATTTGATTGCTAATGAATAATGACTCGTTTAATCGAGTCATGTGAAACTCGTCAAATTATTTTTACCAGCGGTCAATCACATATTGATGGGGCGGTCACAACAAAGACACCATATGACTATATATGCAACTGATTAATATAATATTAATTAAAATTCGTGTCCTCCCGTAAAGAGTATTGTAAAATAAAATACAAAACTCAGAATTTAACACAAACAGAGCATTTTTTTTTGAATACGGAATATGTCGAATGAAAAATAATTTGTTTGTTTTTAAAAAAGTTATGGCAGTTTTAAGGAAAAAAATTGATAAAATGTCGTAAATGAACGATTTTTTAAATTGTAATTTTTTGAGGAATTACTCCTGTTTATGAGGAACGAGGGAATTTTTTTTAATTTTTGAAGGGAATGTTTTCGACTATATACAATTTGTGATCGTTTGACATATCGTTGAAAGAAATCGGTTAGGTGAGAGCTGTGATTGAGCATTCACAGTCGCAAAAAAAAAACACTCAGATTGAGTAGTATTAGAAAAAAAAATAAAATACAACACATAATAAAACTAATGTCTTCTTAGCTTCCCAACGAAGCTAAAATATTGTTAAGCCTACAATTTTTATAATTAGAGAATATTCGTCTTTGGGTATCCACCGACCTCCAAGCATAATATTACTGATAAAGCACGGCGATTATACGTTCGAAAATCGACTCAAGCAAAGTAAAATATTACCATAATATACAAATATACAAAAAAGAAAACTTTTTGTCGTATTACAAATATTTTTAGGAGAAAATAATTATTTTATAATAACATATATCCATTATTTTATTAAGTCTTCAATAAAAAATTTAAAAAAGTTTACAAGGCAAATCATTGAAACCTAAATACTCATAATCATTTTTCACAACGTTTAGAAAAAATGATTCCATGTAATCACACATAACATGAAGAGTACTACATTCAGTTAGGGTATTGGTTTTAATCAATTGTTCAAATGTTGTAATTATGTCTATTTCATATTCTATAATTTTGCAATATTTCATGTTGTATTGATTTACGTCATAAAATTTTCTCTGTAAAACAGAAGTATGAACTTGTGCTAGGTCTTCAAGGAATGATTGAGCTTCATAAAGTCCACCATTAATAAATAACAATGTGGAAAAATACTTTTTTCTAACATCATTAAGAAATTCAATAAAAATCTCTACCAGTTTCTCTATTAATAATTCTTCACGCATATATTGTTTATCTATTGTGTAGTGTCTCATAGTAATGAGAGCAAATAACATTTTTTTAAACATATCATCTGACGGCATAAGTGTTTCATAAAGCCTAACTGCACAATTAATTTTATTTTCATAGTTACAAACATTAATTATATGTCCCAACATTATATTAAAATTATTAAATATTTCAATATAGCGACATCTTAAAATAAGTGCAAGATATGACTGCATGAAATCATAGTTATTCATATCAACTATTTGTAAAATATCTTTAAAATACAGTGATGTTCCTTTTGTATATTCAGTTTCAACAGCTATATGTTTCCAAGACATCCAACCAGAGTGAGATAATAAATGATTACACAAATAAATACCTTCATTATTGTTATATTTCTTACTTTTGAAATAAATATACCTGTATAGAAAAAAAAAGTCATGTATAAGTGACTAAAATGATGTTTACAGAATAAAATTCTTAAATTTAGGCAACTAAACTATAAATCTTACTTGAACGTATTTGTTCCATTTAATTGTTCAAAGCCTAGTTTTGTGTAACAGTTTTCAGTTCTATCCAAAATATATAATTCAAGATCTTTATGAACATTATTAATATAATCGTAGGAATTCTCAACCAGTTGATCCATTTGATTGATGTTATATTTCATCAATAAATCGGTTAAAATAGAATTTTTATGTTCTGTCCCACACACTTTTCTAATATTGTAAAGATTTGATAACACTAATTCAGCTTTTTTATTGAAATCTTTTATATTTTCAAAAGTACTGACCCATTTATCAATAGTAGAAAAATTTAAAAATGAGTCATTGCTTAACTCTATTGTATATTTGTAAAAATAATTTATTTCAGAATCTACAGTTTTAATATTAAGAATAGGCGAGTCAATAATTCGTAGATCGATTTTGTCGAGATATTTTGCTGTTTTCAACATTTTTTTAAACATATTTACTGAACAATTGTAAATATTAAAAAGTAGCTTTATGCAATATTTCAATTCCACACATTGATATTTTAAAACATTCACTTTACACTTATTTAAAATAAGGCCTAACATTGCATTGAAAGTTTGCAATATATTAGTAAATTCACAATTTAAGAGACAAGTTATAAAGTAGAGTTTTTGTATAAAGTTAGTTTCATCGATAATTTCACTTGTGATGCTTATGGTGTTAATTGAGAAGTGATCAAGTTTAATTTCTGTTTGTTGAATTGAGTTCCATCCATTTTGAACACGAATGTGGTTTAATGAGTTAATAAGATATTTTTTAAAATTTTTACTTTGAGAATCACAATATACATTTATAATTTGACTTAATTGCCAATATAAGAAAAACTCATATAAAATAATTTTTTTAAACATGTTTTTTTAATTTTATGAGACGAAATTTATTATATTATATATCTATGAATAAAATAATTTAAAATTCTTTTTTATATAGCTGTTACTTTATTGAATAGAAAAAGAACGACATAATTTTTTTTATAATCATTTTAACTGCAATTGGTGATTTATTCAATATTTAATTACTGTCTAAATGTGTATCTATAATGTAAAATATTTTTAGAAATATTTATGACGTAGATATATATATATAGAAATTGAAGTTCAAATTGCTTTAAAATTCATTGTCATGAAAATGGTTAAAAATTTTAAAAGTTGTATTTATTTAAAAAAATATGAATTTGAAATTTTTATTTCAATAAATTATTTTAATTGACAATTTCTAACATACTTCTTAAACGTCTAAAGACTGTCAAAAAAATAAAAATTTTAAAAGTTGTCAAACATTAAATTTATAAGAATCAATAATTGTATTATTTATGTCATAAGGCGAAAGGGAAACATGTAAAGGGGATTGTCGTAAAAATTATGTGAACATTTAAAAATTAGTGTTTATTGCGTTTCGTAAATAGAATAGAACTATTCGAAAACTGACACTTTATATCCATTGTGTTATTAAAATTGTGAGTGTGTGTGTGTGTGCGACAAAAGTCATGGTTTGACTACTGGTCCTTTAGTCAATTTTAACAATTAGTGTGGATGCTGGCTAGTTTTTGGGTTTTACTGTTCTTTAGTAGGTATAGTGAAACGGTAGCTGTGCTGGTGGCTGCCAACCCAACCTTAAGTCTGCTAACATGGAATAAATTAGAATGAAGTAGAATTATGATATGGAATAACACAAGTGTGTAATTAACTTATATTAAACCATCACTGACGAAATGAGATCTACAGTGAGAGTTCTTCGCCTACCGTTGCCCTAAATCCCTTGGTCTGCACATTTCTGTGGCCGATGACAGTCGAACGACTATGTATTTTATATTCTACGCAATTACAAAATAATACTCAAGGGCTCTCAACATCAATTTTATCACTCTGAGTAGTAAATTTATTACTTAAATTTTGGAGTAACCACGCAGTTAATGTAGAGTCCTAAGAAATATTTAATTAAAAATAAAAACTCAATACTACCTTTTATATTAAAATGTGAATATAGTGACGTAATGCAAACATTTTATGTAATTTTAAGCTTTGTTTTAAATAAGTGTAAATTTAAATATTTAAATAAACAATATGACGAATTGATTTATTGCATTGATCGAATTATTGATATTTTTAAATGTTCAGTAAATATGTTTCAAAAAATTGATTTCGATAAAATCGACCTACGAAATTTAGACTTTCCTACTCTGAATATTAAAACTGTAGATTATGAAATAAATTATTTTTACATATACGCAAGGGATTTAAAAAATCCCCCGGTATTTATGATGTATAATACTGTTGTCAATAATTTTGAAAATATAAAATGTTTTTAAAAAAAGCTGAATTGATGATATCAAATCTTTACAAAAATAAAAAAGTGTGTGGGACAGAATTTAGATAGAAAAAGTTCTATTTTAACCTAATCATTTATATTATATAACATCGATCAAATGGAAAAACTGATAGAGGATTCCGACGATTATATTAATGCTATTCAAAAAAATCTTGAATTATATTTTTCCGAAATAAATTAAAATTTTTATTTAAAACTAGGCTTTGAACAACTACACAGAACAAATACATTCAAATAAGATTTATAGTTTAGTATGTTTACAAACTTAAATTTAATAATTTTATTCTGTTATTTAAATAGTATCATTATTAATATATTAATTTAGAGGGTACGTACATTTTTTTTTTATCCATACAGGTATATTCATCCAAAATGTAAAATATACGGCCTTTTTGAATGCATTACATTTTATTTCTTAAATAGTTTTTGTTTGTAAATATTGAAATAAAATTAATTGTGCAGTTAAGGTTTATGAAATATTGCAAAATTATGAACTGTGAATCAGACATAATTACAAAATTTGAACAATTGATTCAAACCAATACCTTAATAGAATATAATACTCTTCATATTATGTGTGATTATTTGGAATCATTTTTTCTAAAGGTTGTGAAAAATGATTATGAGTATTTAGGTTTCAATGATTTGCCTAGTAAACCTAGTTCACAAAATAAAAATTTTCAAAATTGTCAAACATTTAAAATATTAGAATCAATAGTTATATTATTGTCCACAATGATTAGTACAATTAATCGTAGTGTATTTTAAGAAACTAGCCATACTATTAAAATTTGTTTGAGGGTTAACTATTTACTGTAAATGGTACGTTGAAAGGTTAAATAAAAAAAAACGCAGCATATTGGTGACGTGGCATAGTTGGATCAAGTATAATAATATCTGATAGCAATTAAAATCACTATAAAAAAAAAAACGCTTCGATGCAAATCTTTAGATAGTGTTTAATTTTAAAAAAATTGGTGTTTTATTCCAAAAGCTAAAATATAAAGCTAGGTATAAAAGTATAATATGAATAAATAATAATTTTAGCAACTAATTTTAGTATGAAACTGATATTCAAGAATTTAATATTACAATTTATACAGAGAAATTATAAAAATAGTAAAGTATTTCTTTACTTTTAACGTGTATAAAAATTTAAAGAGATAAATAAAAAATAAAATAAATTGTTTTTAAATTATTACTGATTTTGATTTTTAATATGTTAAAAATAATCAGTCCAAAATTTCATTTTTATCCTATTTTTTGGGGTATTTTAAGTTGATGAACATTTTTGATAAAAATGTTCATCAAAAAAAAATTTAAAATGTTTTCATATTTTTTAGCTCAACTTGTAAGTTTGATATTGACATCATTAAATAGAAAGTTTTATGAGAATCAAAAAAAGGTTACTTTTAAGATTAATGTAGTCACGAAATTTTATAATTACTATTTACAGTATATATATCAGAAAAGCTGAATATTTTTTTGAATTTTTATCGTAATGAAACACGTAAATAGAAATAATAGAAATCATTTCTAAATAACTTTTGGTGTTTAAATAGATTCTACAAC